CTTCTCTGTTGCGGTGTGTGCAAACGGAGATGAGGGGAAGGAGTTCGCCGAAGAGCTTGCCATGGATGAATTCGAGGTAGGCTCTGATTACCATGTAAGAAGAAAATGGTTTAAGCGTATGCACCTCGGCAGGGACGCATGCGTGTTCATATATAGCAAGAGATTACAAGATCGGTAGGTTGTTAGCTATTCTTGACCTCTACTCCAAGCTATACTAGAGATAAGATCTTCTAGCCTAACAACCTACCAAGTACATACACAATACACACGCAATACATTTGCACCGTGACACTTGTCACGTTACACACGCAAGCCTATTCGCTAACAGCCGGGCCCTAACAAGTTGCCAGAGAAAGATCCTAATCTTCAAAGGCAATTTCATCTCCGAAAGGAGGGAGAGCTCATCCGGCCCTGGAGAGGGAAGGATAGCTCGATAAAGCGACCTGAATGAGAACTTTATCGAGAGAGGGCGTGTGGACGGCGGCACATGCCACGAGTTCCTCCCATAAGTCACGCTCAGCCGGCCCGAAGGTACGGCGGAAACCTATGTTGCCTAAATCCTCTAAGGCCAAGGCTACCGACAAGTGCGGTTCAGCACATATATTAAACAGGGGCTGGAACTGGATAGCGAAGGGACGGTCTCCAGACCGGCCAGAAGAGCATGGAATTCTGGCATCCGATAGAGATCGAGGATCCAAGACACAGAGCTGGATTGAGCTGGATGATCGTTTGCCAGAATTGGGAGCCCCTGGAACGTATGGCAAAAGCCAGGGGCTGACCAAGCAAATACTTTGCGGGGTATGTCTTACCACAGGTCGCCCTCCCCCGAGGTGATTCACCATAACCATTTGGACAATAGGGAGATGTTCATGCGCTTAGAGGAGATCACGCCAAGACCACCCTGGTCTTTCAGCTTACATATTTTCGACCATTTCACCATATGGTATTTCTGTTTGCCACCCTTGCCGGCCCAAAAGTACGAGACTGATATTTTGCGATATCCTGGTGAAGGGATTCAGTAAGACTATAGAATCCCATCAGGTACATCAGGAGACTAATCATTGAAGAATTGATGAGAACAACCCGCACTGCCTTGGAGAGCCACCTGCCCTGCCAAGGTTCTACTCTATATTGGACCTTGGACACAGTCGGCCGAAGGTCCTTCTCGAGTATGCGGGAGTCACTAATGAGCATGCCCAAATACAAGGTTGGGAACGTGCCAAGCCGGCAATTCAGCCAGTTCGCAATCTAAAGGCGCTCGGCATCAGAGTACCCAAGGACCATGACCTCGCTCTTGGCGAGGATAATTGTAAGGCCTGACTTCTCTTGAAAGCAAAGGAGCATGAATATGAGATGGAAAATGTCCTCGTCAGACCTCTCGACCATCAAGATTTTGTCATCGGCGTATTGGAGGTGCGTAATGCCCTCCCCCCCCCCCCAAAAAAAGATGGCCGCATACACCCTTGATATGTTCGGCCGTGTTTGCCAAGTCCAACATCGACGCCAAGGCATCAACCACCTGATTAAAGAGGAAAGGGGAGAGGGGGTCCCCTTGGCGGACACCCTGCTCCATCTGAAAGTAGGGTCCCACCTCCCCATTGATGTTCAGCGTAGAGCGTCCACTCGACACTAGCTGCATTACCCTAGCGATCCACCTTGGATTGAAGCCCTTTCGGCTTAACACCTCCCGAAGGAAGGACCAGTGAACAGAGTCGTAAGCCTTGTGGAAATTGATACTAAAGAGCACCGCTTTAAGATGCTCGTGGAGAACCTCGTGGAGAACCAGTATTCCATCCCATATGAACCTTCCCTTGATGAAGGTAGATTGGTTTGGATGGGTGATCTGCGGAGCCAGTAGGGCCGCCCTATTGGCGTACCCCTTGGCAAGGATCCAGAAAATTACGTTAGAGACCATGATGGGCCTAAACCGGCAGATGTCCGAAGCCCCTGGCAATTTTGAAATGAGCGAGACGATCCCGTAATTCAATCGGGATAAGTCCAGGATCCCTTGCTCAAACTCATGGAACAACGCCAGGATTTCTCCTTTGATGGCGGGCCAGAACACCTGGAAGAAACGGACCGGAAGGCCATAGGGACCGATGCAGGGTTCATCCCTTTTATGATGTTGCCCACCTCCATCTCATCAAAGAGGGGCAGACAAGTCATTCTCCGCCAAGGGGACCAACTAGGCTCCGCGCCAGATGATCTCCGCTAAAGCGGCACCGTCGAGAGGGCGGGCCGCGAAAAGGTTCTTATAGAACCCATTGGCATGGGCCCGTAGCTCTCCAGGGTCCTAAATCATGATCCCCCCATCACACAATAGAGGGATGGTACAACGCCTACGACAGACATTAGCAATGGCCTAGAAATATGTCGTGTTGGCATCGCCAAAGAGAACCCAATTAAAGGTTCTCAGTTGGCGCCAATATTCTTCCTCCTTACGAAATGTTTCCGTAAGCTCATCCTCGAGATTATATCGCAAGGCCCACTCCTCCAAGGCTAGCCCCACGGTGTCCACTCTCAGGTCCAGGGCTTGGATCTGAGAGAGGAGAGACTCCTTCAAGACCCGAAGGTCACACCCTATATTAGTGCCCCATCCCTTCATGAATTGACGGGACCGCTTCGCCAAGAAATGCCAGTCGTCCACAGCCGACATCACATGATGGGGCTCCAAACGCGCCGCCTCCCAATGCTCTTTGACGGTCGGAATAAAGCCGAGTTGTCTCAACCAGAATGATTCAAAGCGAAACCGGGGCGAGGGGCGAGGACGATCATCAGACGATGAAAACAGCAAAGGGACGTGATCAGACCCTATACATGTGATGGCCTGCAAGCACACAGAGGAAATGGTAATACCCAATCTGGGGAAATGAACACCCTATCCAGGACACTCATGGTAGGGTCCAACTGGGGGTTGGTCCAAGTGAATCTTGCCCCAACCCTATCAAGCTCTCGGAGACCAAGATCAGTGATCCAATCGTTGAATCGTGCATGCCCGCGAGATCAATCCAGGCATTATTTTTGTCTGTCAGGGAGCGAATGAGGTTAAAGTCCCCTCCTACCACGACCGGTAGAGACGCTGCCGAGACCTTAGCTCGGATCTCGTCGAGGAAGGACAGGGATCTCCTATGATCCACCGGGCCATATACCACAATCATTTCCCATTTGAAGTTGATCGCGTGTTCCCAAATTTCCATACTCACGAAGAATTCACCTCTATCCATGGAACCAACCTCAAAGGTGGTATCCTTCACCCCTAGAAGGATACCACCGGAGTGACCAACCACTCCACTAGAAGGCAGCCAATGAGGGTAGTAAAGATAATACAAGAAAACCATATATCTGCGAGAAAATATAGTAAAGAGGCTTACAAGCTCGATAAACTGTGGAGAAGGCATCTCACAACAGTTCTTGTAGCCCTTAGCTCCAGCCATTATTTGTATAATTATGATGCCAAAACTGAAGACGTCATACTTCTTTGTGATTCTGCATTTGTCTATAAATTCTGGTGGCGTGTAGCCTCTACATGGTATCAACATACACAGTATAAAAGCGCAAGCACAACTTATTTTTTCACGAATTCTGAAAAGAAATGGAATACACATGCACAATTAACTTACAGTGTTGCCTTCATAATTTGAGTTATATGGGTTTTCGACGAAGCCAAGAGTCTATACATGCCAAAATCTGCAATTCTAGGCATCATATTTTGTCCAAAAGTATATTATTCGGATTAAAGTTCAAATGATAAATAAAATCATTCTCCCCATTATGAAGATGATTTAGACCCTCGCAAATTCCTATAATTATTCTGTATTGTGTGGGCCAATTGAATCCACATGATTCATCTACACAAGGGGAAAAACACGCATTATATTCAGAGATAAATATATTGAATTAGAATATTAGAGACACCATAATACCAGAAATATGATCAGCAAGGCTTCTGCCCTCCATATATTCGGAGCAGAGAAGTCGGTCTATTGTTTTAGTGAACAATGGCTCTCCATTTATGTCGACATATCTATTACGCATTCAATGGCAGTAGCCAATTAACCGTACAATGTTTTGATGCTTGATCTTCATAAGTTTACGGAACTCATTTGTGAATTCCTTGTCGTCGATCCCTTGCATGTTATAAAGCCTCTTCACTGCGATTGCTTCACCATTATACACTGCCTGTTAGTTAAAACCCTTTGTTAAATAGGCCATTGGTTCATAGGTAGTGATAACTACCATAAACATCGTACCTTGTATACTTCCCCATACCGGCCACTGCCAATTTTTTGTTCTTCAGTGAAGTTTTTGGTAATCTCTTCTATAAAATGGATATTTATCTCACCGTTGTCAACCTCGTACTTCCCGGCAATTCCATCTCTATGTTTTTCTATTAATGACAACTTATCATCTGTAAGAAAAGTAGATTAGTTAGATTGATTCAGAATAGACCAATCTATCAGCAGGTATGAAAGCACTGCCATATACTCCCTCTGTGAAGAAACATAAGAGCGTCTAGATCACTACTTTAGTGATCTAAACGCTCTTATATTTCTTTACGGCAGGAGTACATGCCTTTTTCTCTGCTGGGATATTTTATTGATGCATCTAGCTGATAAGTATAGAGAGAATGAAAAATACATTTCAAGTTCATAACTAAAGATGACAAGGACAATTAGCATACTAGAGCTAGACCCACACCCAAGAGTAACCTGCAAACCGAGAATCTATGAGAACCAATTGATCCAAGGTTGTCTTGCCAATTACCTCCAAAGCCATATATTGTATGGGCGGTGAAATCTGGTGAGATCCTCCTGGATAAAGTAGCCACTATTTTTAGTTTTTCTTCATTTCTCCCGATGGTCGGTGCTTCTTCCAGATCCAATGTTCTTTCCCGTATGTCAGTAATTTGCTGCACATGTGGACTATTGACCGGCATGGAACTGAAATACAGCTTTTGACCTGTCATAGTGTATAGTTCTTTTGTCGGCCTCTTCCAGGCATTAGCCATTGTATTCTCTGGACCAATTGTGGGACCTGGAGGCACAGCTGGCAACTGCAATAATTTTACTATTTGTAAGTAAATGGAAATATCAGAAAGGATATCATTGTCATATCTTGGAAATCTAAATACGTTTAGCATTAAACCAAAGTACTAGATGATATTTAATCAAAATCCTTGAAGAAAGTGCAAACCAGCTGAGAAAAAGCTGTCATGCCGTAATGTGTGAAAATGACATTTTGGAAAGAATGTGATATCCCCAAATATAAAAGTTCGATCCTCCAAAATTTGAGGATGCAACATAGAACAATATAAAATCCTTTAAAAGATGCAACATAGCACAGAAGAAAGCCGCAACAGAACCACTACACATTTCCAACTGAAAAAGAACTTCAGGGGCAACAACTAAAACACCAACCATACGAGCACACTGGCACACAGTAGCTGACTAGCTGGATTGTTATTTGATCTTGATTACCTGCATTACTGAACTACTACTCGCCCCAGTTTCAGTAGCAAAGTCGTCTGCACTTTTTGTTGCGCCAAGCCTATTAATTATATCCTGTGCATCTGGTCTTTTCGCCGGGTTGAAGTCAGTGCACTCTATCGCTATCTCGGTGCATACCCGTACTTGTACCAGTTGTGTGTCTGCCTGTGACTTCCCCAACCTATTTCTCCAACTCTCAAGTACCTGCCAAATTGCCATTGTGTGTTATATATGATTTATAAAGAGGAGCAAGATATATATTTATGTGTTATATCTTCATGAAAAGTATAGTTGTTAAGGAGGAAATTATAGCAAATCCCTATCCCGCCAGTAAGCAACAGGCCACCAGAAAGCTACACAGCAATGCAGTGAGCCTAGCTAAAACAAACAACTCAAACCGGCAAACAAAAAACATTTGGATGGCAAGTGGTACGTATAGTGACCCATAAGGCCACACCATAACTATAGGGATAATGTAACGTGTCTAACTTTGTACTTTACGTAGTACCATGTAAGGACAATTTTCACCTTACTATTTTATTATTCGCCGTACAGATTGTAGTAGTAGTAGACAATAAAGTTTATATGCATTATGGTAACACATCACTATAACTACGTATTAAGAAATTAATTTTACAGTTATCTTGATACCAGCAGAAACGATGTTCGATTCTTTTGCATCTAATTTGTGCTTTGCACTACTGTATCCTTCAGGATGTTTGATTCTTTTGCAGCTAATTTGTGCTTTGCAATGCTTTGTCCTTCCAAAACAATATTATGCTACTTTTATACAGAAGAATGATAATCATACGCAGCAATGTAACGATATAATCTCGAAATCAAGCCTTTATATTCGAATGAATTATTTGTCTTACATTGTCAATGTCAGCATATCCCTTCCCTCTTGTTACTATCTCCATGATTATCAAACCAAGACTATATATGTCTAACTTGAATGTGATCTGTCTGCTGCCAAAGAATTCTGGTGCCAAATATCCCCTGCATGAATATTCATACAATTTAATACATCAATGGGAAAGCATCGACATTCATTCATACATAACAAAAACAAAAGAGCTTCCAAGAGCCGTAGAAAGCTTACATAGTTCCAATCAGCTTCGAAGCAATAACCTGGCTTTGCTTTTCATCGAAGAACCTTGAAAGCCCAAAATCGGCAATTTTCGGCACCATATAATCATCTAATAATATATTTCCTGGTTTAAGATCTAAGTGAACGATGCCCTTTTGGTGAAGGTAATATAAACCGTCAGAAATTCCAACTATAATTTGATAGCGTTCTCTCCATGCAAGTCCACAGGATGCATCTACAAAATGGGGGAGGAGAAAGTTGGGTTAGTTTTTTGACATACTTGAAGTTCTTAGTCATTCAACGCTAAATATATGGTTGCTTGAACCAAATATGGCCACATCATCCTACCCGTGATTTTCTTATCAAGACTCCCTTTAGGTAGATATTCAAAACAGAGTAACCTTTCTCGTACATCTGCCATGACAAGCCTTCCCTCGTAGTTTAACATTTCCCCTTGTGCGTTAGAACAATATCCTAGGAGCCATACTATATTTTTGTGCTTTGCCTTCATTAAACAACGAATCTCTCCACTGAATTTCTCCTCATCGATACCAAAGTTTTCGGAAAGCTTCTTCACAGCAACTATGCCATCGCCAAGCACTCCCTATAACCGCAACATGCTTTGGTAGCGTAAACACAAGTTTTTAGATAAACTGGGATCAAGAAAAGGGCAGCTGAGAGTTGTCATATTCATACCTTATAAACCATTGCAAAGCCACCGGAGCCAATGAATTGGTCAATAGAGAAGTCGCTGGTGATGTCCTGCAGAAGTGATAGTGGCAGGGCCTTTGGTTTTGTGCTTCCGTCAAATATCATACACTCCAGCTCACTTCGTGGGGTAGCTTGGCGATCCATTTGCAGTTACAAACAAAATACCTTTGAAACAAGAAAAACTGCATTATTTACGAGTCTATTAGACGGGGCTCCTAGATTCTCAATCATTATAAAAGACAGAGTAATGACACTACACTTGTTCTTCAATACTATTGCTATACTACACCTTCAGGAAAACATTAGACAGTGCTACCCTTCAGCATGAGACATTTGACAGAACCACTCTGAACATGTCACATTTCATAATATAGCACCCTTTAGCATGTAATAATCTTCAAGACTACACTAAACTGATCAAGAAATTACACTAAGATAACAAATGTAACTTTGTGAATATAGTTAGTTAAAAGCATAATTGTGTGACAGGTTGACAAAAATATGTAGCCTTGTCATATTTACATCCAGAGCAGAACTACACAAAGATGATCACTCTGTCTAGTGTTTTGCAAAATAGAAAGGTTGTATATGTATGGTGCCATTCCCTCGACGGGCAAAACTGTGTACCATTATTCTCTTCTTTTTTGTGAAAAGTGTACCATTATATGCTTAATTAACTGGACGAATGCCTTGAATAGGCATATGTGTCTCTTCCCTAAACCCAGCATTAAGTTGGCACTGAGAAAATAGTGTGTATGCCATCAGTACTTGACTACTTGGTCAGTTCTTGGATATGCAATCACTAGTTGAAAGTTGCACCGACAGTCTATACAATTAGTGACTAGTTTGACCAAGGCACACAGTCAGTACAGATAAGAGACTTCCTTTATCCTTCGCAGAAAAAGAAAAAATGTAATAAGTAACTGAAATTGTTTGGTTACACGACAAGAAAAGGCTGAAACTTTCTTAAATCTGCTTGCCATAGTTGTCATATAAACAGCGGAACAAATCCATGAGGTTAGACCGTTAGATTCTGCTATTGAATTGTGCATGAAGTAGTCCATAGTGAAATTTGTATTCCTGTCATAATCACACAAGGTTTATGGAGAAAAAAAATCCTGAAGAACAGAATCCTACAAAATTACATGCAATTCCTTTGAATCAAAAAGGTTCTTATCAGAATTCCAATGGGATTTATGTGAATCAAAGATGCCGCTGTGTGGATGAGTGGTCCAAACCATACTAGACACGGTCAAGAAGCAGCAGGTCATGGAACTAAAGATGGCAATGATGCGGGAGGAAAAGATATTTCCCAGGAACAAAAGAAATGGTAATCACCCGGAGAAGCAGAGCTGCAGCACTGTGAAGTGACACTGGACAGAGTGCTGTGTGGAGAAGGGGATTTTTATCTCAGGACATGGGTACTTCCATCAGAGAGGTGAGATCTAGATCTTGCTGTGGGGAAGGAGATTTTATCTCATGACATGGGTACTTCCAGCCGAGAAGCCAGATCTAGATCCTGCACCCAAATCAACCGCAATGACTGGTCAAGAGCATGTAAACAGCACCAAGAAGCTAGCAACCAACCAGATGCAGGAGGAGCATACTACTTTCACTATGCTGAGAAGATATTTTTCCTGGAACAAGAGAAACTGTGATTTATTACCTGTAGAAGAAGCCCTGCTGCAGCGCTGCGAAGTGTTGCCCAGTGCCCGTGGAAAAAGGGATTTTTATGTCGGTAGTACTTGCAGCCGAGAGGTGAGATCCAGCAGAGGTGAATTCACGGGGCAATGTGAGAAGGTGTTCTTTCTGGTCAACAATGGCCGTTACATGCATCCTCAATAATGGACGCTCAGATGCTCTAGCTTTACAGCCCACTAGTAAGGCATCTCCAGCCGTTCGGCCCTCCAGGGCGACTAAATTGAGCATCCTGGGGGCGTGCCGGCGCTAGTTCGGCCCCTGGGGCGAGCTAACTCCCAGTCACGCACCCACGCGCCGGCCCCAGGACGCGGTAAATTCAAACTTGGTCGTTCCCGCTCTCAAAAGACGCCGCAAATCCGGCGATCGGGCGTAGTCTGGCGTTACAAAAAAACAGAGCGCCGCCGCCTCGGCGGGGTCGGTTCACTCGGCGGGGTTGGTCCCAGGTGTTGGCGGAGTCGGCGTGCGCGAGCTCGGCGGTGTCGGAGCTGCTTCGGTGTTGGGCTGCATCGGCGCTGCTTCGACACTGCTGGGCGGCGATGTAGAGGCTTCACTCGGGCTTGGCGTCCGCGTGGTCGTGGGCGTCGTCGGCGTCGTCGGCGTTGCCGTCGGCAGCTCGTTCAGGATGAGGCCGCGCTGCACCAGGTACCACGCCTTGAGCTTCTCGTCGTTGCTCTGGAGCATGTCCGCCCCGCCCATCAGGAAAGCCATGTCGGTGTTCCTCTTCTTCGCGGCGACGTTCGTCCGGAGCAGGTCGAGCTTGATGGCGTTGTTCTTCATTAGCGCCGACCACCACGCCTCGGTCTTCTCTTCGCATAGGACGGCCCGGGCCTGGGCGTCGGCGAGGCAATGCTCGATGGACTCCTGCACTCGCGCGGTTGCCGCGTCGGCGTTTTCCCCTTCTTAGCCAATTTGTGGTCGTCCGGCCGCCCCTCCGACGCGCTCGGAGTCGTCGCGTCCGGCTTGTATGTCTTCTTGGCCTTGTCGAGTGCATGCCGGACTTCCGCCCACTTCTCGCACTTGTTAATGCGCTTGTAGACGTGAAGGTGCTTGAAGTCGGTGTCTTGGTTGTCACCCCGGTACATGGCGAACATACGCAGCAGCTGTGCGGACGGACGAACAGTTGGCGAACGGCGGGCGTAGGGGACGAAGATGTGCGGGCGAACGGCGTGCGTACCTGATCCTCAACGCTGGCGCCGCTCTCCGGGCGAGCCGCGACCTCCTCGACAATTCCATGACATTTGTTGCACGCCAACTGGATACGCCCCCAATGGTTCGCCATCGCCTTGGACCCGCGCTGCATGTAGACGCCTTTGAAGTAGGGGTCGACGAGCTTCCGCTCGTCGAACTCGGCCTTGATGCGGTCCCAGTACGTCTCGAAGCTCTGGTTCGCGCCGGTGGTCAGGTCGAGGCAGACGACTTTCCACGCTTCGGCGAGGCATTCCTCCTTCTTGGACGTCCACTTGATGCGCGGTTCGCCCGACCAAGCCGCCCGCTTCTTTTTCTGGCGCCCCTTCGTCGGAACAGGAGCCGGCTCCTCCTCCTCCTCCTCGCCGTCCTCCTCCTCCTCCTCAGGTTCCTGCGCGTCGTCGCCGTAGACGTAACCGAGCTTGGCCTCCATGTCTCCGCTGAGGTCCACTACCTCGTCCTGGGTGGCGAACCCAGGAGACGAGGCGGCCGCGGCCGATCCTGTCGCGATGATGTCGTCCATGTCGGCTCCCGTGTCGTCGGCGTCGCCGAGGTGCGAGAAGGGTAGCGGACCACGGTAGAGATGGGGCGTCGGTGCGGTCGCGTAGGCGGCGGGCGGCGAGTAGTTGTATGGAGGGTACTGCACGCCGACGAAGGCAGACGAGGGCGTGCGCGTAGCGGGGTGACCATGGGGGAAGGTCACATTTGGGTTGAACCCACCGTGCGCGTCGCCGTCGGCGTAGCCGGGCGACGATGAACCCCGTGGAGATCCGGCGCCTTGCTGTCCCCAGGGCGCGTACTGGGCATGGCTGACGACGGGTGGATTCACCCCCGCCTCGACCGACGAGGAAGACGCCGCCGCGCGCGCCGCGTTGTCGCGGGCCTTCTTGGCTATGGCCCTGTTCCGCCTATCGGCGGTGACTGCTTCTCGCCGCTAAACTTCCACCCTCCACTCCGCGTTCGACAGGCCCGGTGGCTTCGATGGCGGCGCCCTCGGCTTCCTCTGCTTCGGTTGGGTCACGGCGCCAGTCGCGGTCGCCGCCGCGCGCGGCATGGAGTACTTCTTCGGCGGCATGGCGGCGGAAGGCGAGCGGGGTTTGGCGGGAGAAAGGGGAGAATGGCGGGAGGAAGCCGAGCGAGCGGGAGAGAAGCGAGAAAAGCGTCAAGAAAACGGCGGGAAAAGGCCCTCGGGTCGCTTCCAGTGCGGGCCCACATGCCTTTTTCGCTTGCGCCGGCTCCCCAAGCGCCCCCCAGGGCGCCGGGTTCGGCCTGGGTCCGCCGGCACCAGTTTTGGTCCGAGCCGGCGAAAAACGGGCTTCTGGGGATGCGACTGGGGCCTTTTTTCGGCGCCGGCGCGGCAAAATCGCCTGGGGAGGGCCTGTTAGGGACGCGGCTGGAGATTCCCTAAGAGGCTACGCTAAGATGCTCTAGCTTTACAGCCGACTAGTAAGAGGCTGCTTGGATCCAAGAGACTTATTTTAATCTGACTAAAAATAGTCTCTTTAAAAGGCTAAAGTTTCAAGCACCCCTGATTAAAAAGGGGCTAAACTAGTCTTGAGACTAAAAAAAATTTAGTCAAGGGTATCCTTACTAAAATGTGGATTAGTCGTCTCTCTCCTCATTTAACTCTTTTCCTTTAATACGGGCGACTTCTGAATTGGAGGGTTTGGAGAATAATAAATGCTCATTAACTTGATTTTAATCTCTTTAGTATTTGGATCCAAGCATGGGTGAGGTTAGTAAGTTTTAGTTCCACTACTTTTAGTCATGAGACTAAAACGTATCCAAGTACCCTCTAAATAAGCCCCGGAATGCCCTCGCCTCACTATTCTTGATTTTTTTATTTTTTTTTTCTTCCCTGTTACTTTACTTGTCACAGTGCTATTTAGCAAATTTTTACACGTCATGCTTCAGGTCTTCGCTAATTAGGATGAGTCACTTAAACAGGATCATACCTGGCCAAACGGGCCGGCCCGGCACGGCATGGCCCGGCCCGCTGTAAACGTGCCTGGCACGGCACGGCCCGCCTCGGCACGAATAATAACCGGGCCGTGCGGCCGTGCCGTGCCGGCCCACAGGCGGGAGCTAGCAGCCCAGGCACGACACGTAGGCTACGTGGGCCGGCATGCGGCACGCCCAGGCACGCTGGCCTGTCTGGCGCGATTTTTTTCTTTTTCTTCGTAATACCTCTGAAAACAGCAAAAAAAGCCAAAAAATATAGAAAATTATAAAATTTGGTAGACTATTATGTGAGATAA